CAAGAACCTACAACCAAGATTACTCTATCCTGCAAAGCTGTCATTTAGAATCAATGGCCATGTAAAGAGTTTCCCAGGCAAGGAAAAGCTAAAGGAGTTCATCACCACCAAACCATTATTATATGAAATGTTGAAGGGTCTTCTTGAAGAAAAAGATAAAAAATATGAACAAACAAAATGGCAATGAATACATAGCTATCCACAATTGAATTTACAAACAAAATGAACAAGCAGAACAGAAACATTCTCATAGATATAGAGAACATTTTGTTGGTTGCCAGATAGGAGGGGGGAAGGGGGAATGGGTGAAAAAGGTGAAGGGATTAAGAAGTACAAATTGGTTGCTAGACTGACAAATCTCAAAGGGAAGGGGGGTTGGGAGGGTGGGAAGAAATAAACCAAAGATCTTCTGTGCATATATGCATAACCAATGGACACAGACAACAGTGTGGGAAAAGGCGGGAGGGGGAAAAATGAGGAACATCTGCAATATATTCAACAATAAAGATTTAAAAAAAGAAAATAAAAAAAATAAAAAAAATAAAATTGGGTGGAGAAAAGAGGCAGAAGATATTTCAAGCTAATTCATTGATGTTTATAGTAGGAACCATTAGATACTAACTTAAAGAGGGTTAAAAGAGAAACATCTGTAACAAAAATAAATAAATAAGTAATTTTAAAAATATAAAAAATAAATAAAGCTAGTGAAAAGCTTAGAGGTCTTTTGCTCTGATACTACTTAAAGTTTGTTTTAATCACCTCTCATACTAAGACAGCCTCTCATTTTAGAACAGTTGTAGATCGACAGAAAGGTTGTAAACATAGTGCACAGAGAGTTCCCACAGGGCCCACACTTCATTTCTTCTCTTACTACTACCTTACAATAGGAAGGTGCATGTGTCACAATTAAAGGAACCAATTCTAATATATTACTATTAATGAAAGTCTGTACTTTACCCAGATTCCCTTCGTTTTTACCTAATGTCCCTTTCCTATTCCAGGATCCCATCCAGGGTTCAACATTCTGTTCAGTCGTCGTATCCTGTCAGGCTCTTCTTGGCTGTCACAGTTTCTCGGGCTTTCCTTGTTTTTGATGACCTTGACAGTCTGAGGAGTACTGGTCAGGTATTCCATAAAATGTCTCTCAGTTGGAATTTGTCTGATGTTTTTCTCATGAATAGACTAGGATTATGGGGCCCTGGCCCGGTGGCTCAGTTAGATGCTCAGTTGGGAGCATCCTTCTGATATGCCAACGTTGTGGCTTCAGTCCTCAGTCAGGGCACATTCAAGAATCAACCAATGAATCTACAAACAAAATGAACAGGAAGAACAGGAACATTCTCATAGATACAGAGAATATTTTGTTGGTTGCCAGTTGGGAAAGGGGTTGGGGGAATGGATGAAAAAGGTGAAGGGATTAAGAAGCACAAATTCATTGCTAGACTGACAAACCTCAAAGGGAAAGGGGTTGGGGGGGTGGGAAGAAATAAACCAAAGAACTTATATGCATAACCAATGGACACGGACAATAGTATGGGAAAAGGTGGGAGGGGGGCGGGAGTGGGGAGGAGGGGGTCAATGGGGTAAAAATGTGGAACATCTGTAATACATTTTACATCCAACAATAAAGATGTGGGAAAAAAAAAAAAAAAAAAAAAGAATCAACCAATGAATGCACAAATACGTGGAACAAACTGATGTTTCTCCTTTCCTCTCTCTCCAAAATCAGTAACAAAACAACAACAAAAAAATTAGACTAAGGTTATGGGTTTTGAGGAGGAAGACCACAGAGGTAAAGTGCCATTGAGAGTGCATATTGTCATATCGCATTGTCACATCACATTGAGGGTACCTATTGTCAACATGCTTCATCACTGCTGATATTGACCTTGATCACCTGGTTGACGTAGTGTTTGTCGGTTTCTGCACTGTGAAGTTACTTTTCCCAGCCCACTGTGTGCAGCCCACACGGAAGTGGGGCGTTATGTTCCACCTCCTTGAGGGCAGAGTATCTACATAAATTATTTTCTTCTTCATGCAGTTTTGTCTATCCTCCCTCATTTATTTATTTATTCAGTTAATCAGTATTTATATCAGTATGGATTCATGAATATTTATTTGGGTTACAATCCAATAGTCCTTTATTTATTTCAGTGACCCAATTCTTTCAGCTTTGGCTAGTAGGCGCTTTTTCAGTTGACTCCTGTGTCCCTTTGATATAAACCCATTATTGTCGGTATTTGAAGCACCTGTACATCCTTACTTTCTGGCACTACAAGACGGTTTAGAGACTCATCTTGTATGATTCCTGTGTCAGGCCTAGAATCATATTTTTAATATTGGTCTCAATCCACTGAATTGAGTTCACCGTCCATTACCTGAGTCATGTCCCACAGTGAAACACATTAATCTGTCACATGTTACAAATAAGGAAATTGGCACCTTGAAAGGTGCAGTGGTTTATGCACGGTCACATGTAGTCGTTAGCAACGCCAGGGCCATGGCCACGTCCAGGTCTCGGCCCCCTGGCCTTGTAGTCCTGCGCCTTGTCTACCAACTTACACTGGCAAATTCTGCTGTTCAGAACCTGGTTCCGCATACTCCCCTCACCCACGCCTATGCCTAGGCAATCAGATGTGAACTCTACTAGATGTGCTGCTGTCTACCCAGGACAGGTCTCCGCAGAAAGGGACAAGGAGCACGGGCCAGATTCTTGGGGGGCAAGTCTGTTTTCCTGTCGGGACGAGGCTTTGTAATGGTGAACGAGTGAAAACCCCACAGAATGTGACTGCTGAGGCCAGCGCTTTGTAACTGAGCCTTGTCATGACTGGCCTCTGTTTTGTTGGGAAGTGGGGTCAGGAGGGGGACTTGTAGCATCCATACACTCTCTATTTGGATTTTCTTCCTTTCCGGGGGGAGGCAGAATGAAGTGAATCCAAGCCTCAAAACCATCAAATTTTGCTTCATCCTATGATCTCCTGGCATCCTCCATAAAGACAGAGCTGAACAGACAGGTTTTTGGTGTTCTAAAGGCCCAAACAACCTGGTATTAGGATCTGGTGTGACTAATCAATTACACCAAGAAGCTTATTTTCTTTTGTGGGAGGAAATAATTCAGTCATCGAAAGGTCCGTAGATACAGAGAGTAGTAAAGAGTAAACTTATTTCACATTGGCTTCTCAGATGTTCCGTTTCAAAAGATATTTTTTGGTTTTTTTAATAATTGAAGGTGGTGCTCAGGCTGAAAAATTATTCTTATAAAGGGGTTTACAGGATTAAGGCAGCAGTGATGTATTAGGACATTTTGTTCGCAAGTAACAGAAACATATCCAGCTTCAGGACAATTTGAAAGAAAATTTATTGGTTTATGTTGCTAAAAAGCCTAATAGTAGGGCTACCTTCAGGCATGGCTGGATCTGAGGGCTCAAATCATGTCACCAGGGCCTTGTTTCTTGTCATCTCCCAGCCTGTTTTCATCTGGCTTCATCCTTAGGCAGGCTTCTCCATGTGTCACAGCTACAGACCTGTTTTTTTTTTGTTTGTTTGTTTATCCTCACCCGAGGACATTTTTCTATTTTTTATTCAGATAGAGCAGGAGGGAGAGAGAGGAAGAGAGAGAGAGAGCAACATCGACGTGAAAGGGACACATCGAGTGGCCGCCACCCCCACGACCCAGCCAGGGCCGGGGACAAACTGCAGCCGAGGTACGTGCCCTTAGCGGGAACCGAGCCTGGGCCTCTCTGGACCGCAGGCCGACGCTGAGCCAAACCGGCCAGGGCTACAGACCTGTTTTTACATGCTAAACAACTCTATCCTGCAATGCTTGTTGCCTCTGATTGTCCCTGCCTTTGGTCATGCCCCTAACCCCAAACCAGTTCCTGGGGACAGTCATCAGGGCTGTCCCTGGTCAGGCAGGAGTCCGAGGAAGGGAGGGTGTCTCAGGAAGATTGAAGTTCTGGTAGCAGAAGGATGAGTTGGCTGGACCAAAATAATGGATATTTTGCTTTTCAGTGTTGTGAAGACTCAGGGTAAATACAGGAATGCGTAGAGGCTCAGCTCCGGTGCTATCGGTGCATTTGTTTGGTTAGTCCCTTCTCAAGCTACTCACTTATTTTGTGAGTGCTTCTAGAGCAGCGGTTCTCAACCTGAGGGTCGCGACCCCTTTGGGGGTCGAACAACCCTTTCACAGGGGTCACCTATGACATAACAGTAGCAAAATTACAGTTATAAAGGAACAACAAAGATAATTTTATGGTTGGGGATCTCCACAACATAAGGGACTGTATTCAAGGGCCGCGGCATTAGGAAGGTTGAGAACCACTGCTCTAGAGAGACCTTCTAGTTACTCTTTGATTAATGTACTAACCTGACTGCCAGCCCTTGTTAGGCCCTCAGCACGCGTTCTTGCGGTTTTTATTGCTAATTTCAAGGCTACTTTCAGCTGTTCTTGGCTAGGTGATGGTGATCCTCTCTTTATACTTGTTTAACCAGGTCAATGTTAGGCAATTTGTTTTGGCTGAATGTAGATACCTTCAATAAATCTGCTTGGATAAAGGAGGTACTTCCAATCTTCCTTTTTCCTTAATGCCATTCCTAGCTCAGATTATTTGTAGTTAACTCTAATTCTTCCTTCTGGAAAGGAGAACGGTGATTATTATTATCTTTATTGTTACATGAGCCAAGAATGACTAGTTCCAGATTTTTAAAAAATTTAATTGAAAGTTTGACTATTCAGGTCTCTTGCTTGTTTTCATTGTTGCTACCAGCCTTCTGCAGTTTTCACTGTTTATTAGTACCTTTGCCTGAAGGTGGACAAGATAAGGTCAAAGGGTGTAATAAAACCTTGGCAGCATCCTTTTTTCTTATCTTTTTCTGGAGGGGCTACTACTTACTTGGTGATGTTTTTGTGCAAAACCAGTTTTGTTCATTGAACAAAATGAATGGTGATGGATTATCCGAGTTTCAGTTAATCATCTTTTTCGTATCTCCTTTTACAATAGGACGTTGAAAGTTGGCTGCAAAGTCACCTCCTTCTGGTTGCCGAGACTTCAGATCTTTTTCCATTTGCCTACTTCTTGAGTCCTATGAGGATCAAGTTCAAAACGAATTAATGCCAAGTTCAGAAGAGGGTAAGTGTTTGGGTCTGTTCATCAGTCTCAAAGTGTCTGTTGTTTTTATATTTCACAGCCCAATAGACAAGATTTTAAAAATCTGTCTCCATTGGCACAGATAATGGAGTTTACTATATATTGATTTCATTTTGTCCATTTCTGTGTTTATTTGTAGGATTACTCGACCAGTTCAGTGCCATCAAATTTTTTTTCCTTTTTCTAATCTCCAAAGCATTTGTAGCTGGGCTATGGTTGAGATTCACAAAAACCATTTTGATTAGGTTTCTCATTCATTTATATACTCCATAAGCAGGGCATGCCTTTGTGTTAGGAGAATATGTTTTGGAAGACTAATGAGGTGGAAGGGTTTGTGTTTCATTTCCCTTGGTTTCCCTCTGTTCAGACACCTGCATTTGCCATTAATTACTACTTCCACGACACACTCTCTTTGTCTGTTGTGCAGTGTTTTAAAATAATATTGGAAGGGAAGCTGGGTGCTGAGGCACATATCTGCATTGGAATAAATGGTTTTTTTTTTTTGAGTGAACAGAAGGCTTATTTAAGAGTAATTGCTATTTTGGTGCCATTTTAAGAAGGTTTTGTTTCTTTTCATCTTTTTCTGTAATCATTGCTTATTCCCTATAGCTGGTCTTATTCTCCTCTGGTCACCTCCTTTTTTTTTCTTAATCAAACAATTCTGAATACTGTTTGTGTTGCAGTGTTTCAGGATAGACACTTGCTTTCTCTAGGGTTTCTTTTTAGTACCAGGCTCTTGGGTCAAACCAGTGCAAAGCAGTTGGGTTTGCAAGAGGTAAATGCTTGCTATGCCATTTAAAACTATTTATTCGTGAAAGGTATTTTAACAGAAATATATTTTCTTTTGGAGGTTCGGCCTATTGCTTTTCTTTTATTTTAGGTAAACTTTTTTATTACTTCATTAATCCTCACCCAAGGATATTCCTCCATGGATTCTTAGATGGAGAGAAGGGAAGGAGGAAGGGAGAGAAACATTGACGTGAGAGAGACACATCGATTGGTTGCCTCCCCCATGAGGCCCCAGTGGGGGCCAGGGATAGAACCTGCAACTCAGGTGCGTGCCCTTGACCGAGAGTCGAACCCACGGCCCTTTGGTCAGTAGGCTGATGCTCTAACCGCTGAGCAAAACTGGCCAGGGCTATTTTAGGTAAACTTTTTATTGAAGTGTAACACACATACAGGAAAGTATACAAAGTGGAAGTGTATAGTTTAATGAGTTTTCATAAGATGAACATGTCTGTAACCAGCTTCCAGATCAAGAAACAGAATGTTACCACTTCCTTAGAAGCTTCCTTGTATTGTCCCCAGTCCCTGTGCCTACTGCAAAAGGGTCCCCTGACTTGTAACACTATTAGATTAGCTTTGCCTGTTTTTGTAATTTAAATGACTCTTTGTTTCTGTCTGCGAGATTCACTCATATTTTTGTGTGATGTTGGAGTTTCTTTATCCCCTTTGCTGTTAGAATTCCATTGTATGAATACCAACATTTGTTTTTCCATTCTGCTATTGATAAACATTTGGGTTTTTCCCAATTTAGGTGATTACAATGAATGCTGCTATGAACATTCTTGTACATAGCTTCTGGTGAATGTGTGCGTCTTTATCAACTGTATACCTAGGAGTAAAAGTTCTGGGCACAGGGTTGGCATATGTGTAGGTTTGGTTGATTTACCTCTTTCCAAAGTAGTTGTGCCAATTTCCTCCAGCGGTATATAAGTTCTAGTTCATCTGCATCCACACTGGACATTGTCTATCTGTTTCATTTTAGCCATTCTGTTGGATGCTTAATGGTATCTTGTGATTTTAAAATTACATTTCCATGATGACTAAAGGAATTGATCACCTTTTCTTGAGTTTACTGGATATTAGTATCTTGCTTTAAAAAATACTTTGATCTTGGTTATGTTCTATATTAAAAGAAATTTTTTTTCTTTATTGATTTTTAGAGAGAGACAGAGAGAGAGAGAGAGAGAGAGATAGAAACATCAATGAGACAGAACAGCAGTTGGCTGCCTCCTGCATGCCCCTACTGGGGATTTGGCCCACAACCTGGGCATCAAACCAGTGACCTCCTGGTGCATGGGTCAACACTCACATTCAACCACTGAGCCACACTGGCTGGGATAGTTATGTTCTTTAGTCATTAAAGTCACAACCATGATTTCAGTGTTAAACAACACTAAATAAAAAACTCAAAATAAGGATTTTATTAGCATTTATTAAGTCGTGATATGAACTTTTAGGCCAAAGAACAAGTCTCCAGATCTTCTCTTGATTTTATTATCCCCGTCCTTAGATTTACAACAGTTTTGGAAGTTTAAGGCACACATGCAATTAAAATTCGCAGTCTTTCATCTCATGTTAGTTGAGTGAATGTGTTGGACATCATAAGGGATGCCAAGATGGATAATTTGGTCTCAAACTTTAAGAAGCTCAAATATGAACATGGCAGAGTAAAATGATTCTATTACGAAGCTCCAAAAATGTGCCCTGGGCACTCTGAGAAAAGAGGGATTAAGTCTATGAGAGGAATACAGGAACATTTCATAAACATTGAAATGCCTTTGAACGTGACTGTCAAAATGTTTGTGACTGGAGGTGGAAGGAACGGGCATTTCCCCAACTGTGGCCCATTTGGGGGAAAGCATGTAGTTCAGAATGGCTGGATTATAGGATGTGCAGAAGGATACCGAAGAGGAAAGTCAAAGGGAGTGAAATAAATTTTCTTAATACTCAAAGAGAGACTACCAATCAAAAAAGAACCAAAAACCTCATTAGGAAATGCCAATGAAAACACACGGAGATGCCATTTTTTTTACTATCCTATTTGCTGACAACAATGTTTGACAAGAGATTATATTGACAAATGTGTGGAGAAATAGTCTCCACTTGTGGCTGAAAGGAGAATAAATTGCTTTAAATCTCTATGGAAAACAATCTGGCAATGTTTTTCAAAGTTAAAAATACGTATACTTTTGACCCAGCAATTCTCTTTTAAAAACATACGTTATAAATAACTTATGCATGAGCAGAAGGCTATCATGGTAAAAGATTAGAAATAACCTAAGTGTGGGAGATGGTCCCTCCATTCAGTGGCTTCCCGTGCAGCCAAAGGGAAGAATGGGGGAGGTCCCTCTCTATTGATATAGTGATATGAAATCATTTTTCAGTTGTTATTGTTAAACTAGAAAAAAGAAGGTGTAAAAGAGGGAACAGCTGATAGCATTTGTGTATAAGTTGGGGGGAAATCCTCATGCATCTCAAAATAAACTTGAAATTGATTACATCAGTTGCTTCCTGAGAGGAACATTAGGTGGTTGATGGAAAAGAATGGGAGAGTTTTTAATGTATACTCTTTTGCAACTTTTGAATTTTTGAATCATATAAATGTATTACCTAATCAAAATAGATAAAATGTCTCCCACTCCCAAAATAGGAAATAAGATCATAGAGTATTTTGAATAACAATCTAACAGTTATACTTTTGCATAATCTGTTAGGATTTATACAATTCTTTTAACTTCATTCCTTCATTTAATCTTCGTAATAACCAAGTGAGGAAACAATTTTTATTTCTGTTTTATAAATGAGAAAGCTGAGATTTGGGTATTTAAGCCATTGCACAAAATCTTTCAGTGACTGATACTAGATTTGGAACATCAAGTGTATTGCTTAAGAAATAGCTTCATTGAAGCTTGGGAACCAATAGCATATGAAATTATACGTGTAAGCAATTTGTAGTGTATTACTTAAAGGACTCAATTTACAGAATAATTCACAGACATCATGTATATTCACATTTAAAATGCTTCAACATTATGGCAACATTTTTCAAAAATACAAAAAAGAGACTTTCAGTAAATTAAAAATTATTTTGTAGTCTGAAAAAAAAAGAAAGAGCTTCATCGATTGTAATTTTATTAAAAAGACAAAAGGCAAGGTATTGGCCTATTTTTGGGCTCAGTGAACATGTACAGAATCACGGAAGTTGAAGTTTAGTGCTCCAAGAAGTTTATTCACAATGTTTGTCTAGCTCTTTGCCTGCACACAGGGTCAGCGCTGTGATCAAGCCTCAGCTCAGTGTAGAGTAAGGCTTGCTCTCAGACTCTGGCCCTGGGTGAACAAGTTGAAATTCATCAAGGAAGAGGTGGTTGAAGTTTATGCTTAATGCAAACTGGATTTGTTTTGGAAGTCTAAGAGTGTCATCTGTTTTGTTTTTTACTGATGGGGAGGATTTGTGTCTCACAAACCTTAGTTGATGATGGTGCATTTTATATCTGTTCTGCCATGATTTTGGCAAACGCCACATGAGCGGATTATGTTCCTTTAATAGCACTGGGCCTTTTCCTTTCAGAGTATTAAATTCCTCTTTCTATCAGAAGCAAAGGGCCTATTCAGATACAGAGACTGGAACTTTCTAGAATGGGCTGAGTAGCAGTTCTACCCACTTGGTCTTACTTGACCTTCACAGCACTAGTTATACTGATGAGCAGTTAGAACATTCTGTTGGGTGTTCAATATTGGGTGAGGAGTGAGGCACTGATGAGGAAAAAATGTGAATGGGTGTGCCCAAGATCTCATCAGTTCAATTGGTGGAGTCGGCCATGAACCCAGGAACTAGAAACTCAGTAGAACAAAGAGAACCTATTATAAAAACAAATTCACTACACCCAAGGAACTCCATGAAAAGAAAGGAATGAATCAGGGGTAACTGAATTTAAAAAAAAAGAGTAACAAAACTGTATACTTCATTGAAAAATAAAATTTGGTCATTAAAATAAAATTAAACAACTAGCTAAAAGACAGATTGGAAAACCAGAAAATGTAGAAAACAGACAAATTCGGAAGAAAGGGTAAAAGAATTCAGGAGTTTAAAGGCTAACAATGAGACCAACTTTATAAACAGAAAGCCTTCTATGAGAAATGTGCATCATAGGTACACAGAGAGAGGGGAAAATGCTCATTTGATAATCAGGAGACAT